CACGCATGTACATGGATGTTGCATGTTGTTGATTGGACAACAACATGCAAACTCCATGCAGAAAGACCCCAGGTCAGGAATCGAATCCAGGACCTTCTTGCTGCAAGGCAACAGTTCTACCAACTGCGCCACTGTACAGCCCTGCGTTTTATCATTTAAAGCTTAATTTATGAACTGTATATGCCTGCTTTTTGTTTTTGTCAGCAATCCTTTTCAGCATGTCTTGATAACATGTTCATCAGTCTTTGTGAGTTTTCTTTTTTTAACGTGTCTGTCTTTCTGCAGGGGCGTTTTAGGGAAACAAGGTTACCAGTGTCAAGGTAATGTCTTTTTCCTTTATAATGACATTAAAGCTACCACCAGTGACATACTGAAAGGTCAATTTGTAACTTACTTCATTCATAAATAAAGTGAACATCATTGGTGTCTTAAGAAATTAACTAACACTATTATGTAAAAGTTAACTTTTCACTTTTTATACTTTATGTAAAGAAACCAGACTTTTTAATCTTTAAGAAGGTTTTAAAAGATTTTAGGATTTTGAGGTGCTTTTTAGTTTTTCTTTGGACTTTAACTTTTGTACTTCATCAGATTGTAATTTATGGTACTTATGTAATGAGACGATTAATTATAATAAATTCCTCCAGATTAGAGGAGTTTAGAAACTAAACATTTGGTTCTGGTTCTGTGTGTTGCTGCTACAGTTTGTACCTGTGTCGTCCATAAGCGCTGCCATGAGCTCATCATTACCAAGTGTGCAGGAATGAAGAAGCAGGATGACACAGTCGGAGAAGTAAGACGTGATGTTTCCTACAAAAACTTCATGGAACTCAAAGCTCTGTTCTTATCTCATACTTAGGGTTCTGGGTGTTTTTTATTAGATGTCAGTTTATTGTAGAAGTATGGAAAGCCTTCATCACAAAATGAAGGTTTCCAGGTATTTCCAGACGTATTTAACAGAGCATGCTGGTTTTCTTGCAGCAAGTCGGGTCTCAGAGGTTCAGTGTCAACGTCCCGCACAAGTTCAGCATTCACAACTTTAAAGTTCTGACCTTCTGCGACCACTGCGGCTCCCTGCTGTGGGGCCTGCTGCGACAGGGACTCCAGTGTAAAGGTAAACCTGAAGCTCACCACAGCTCTTCTTCCCACCTTATCAGGTGTGTGAACTTTCCTCTGTCTGTGCTGCAGTATGTAAAGTGAACGTACACAGGCGATGCGAGAGCAACGTCGCTCCCACATGTGGAGTGGATGCCAGAAGAATTGCAACCGTCCTCTCAGATCTTGGACTGACACCAGATAAAATCTCCAACAGCACCCAGAGGCGGAAAAAGGTTGAGACTACTTAGTGTCTGTACTTTGAGAAACTAAATGTGTGTGTTCATTTACTGGATTTGATAATCATTGAAATTAACACATGTAAACACTCAATAAAACACAGGGTGTGGGTGTGCGTGTGGGTGTATGTGTGTGTGTTTAAGCAGCTTCCTCAGGCTCAGGATCGTCAGCAGCTGCCATCAGAGCTACATCAGACAGAGGAGGACCACTCGAGGTCCGCTCCCACCTCTCCATGTGATCAAGGTAGGGAACCTCATCTCACAGCGACCCCATACACTGAAGTATTGAACTAAGCACATCATAGCTCATCTGTATGGTGGCCCTGAAGTGCAAACAAATCACTAAACACAACTACACAACAACATTAACTAATCAAAGCTACAAATTAAAAAAAGCACAGCAACAGTAACAAAATGGAAGAGGTCAAATCTCAGTGGGTAACCTGACACATGGTTGATTGGACAACAACACATTTGATTTTAGACCCAGTAATTATTCTGGCATTCTTTGCTTAGATAGGAAGAAAGATAGTCACATGTTTGCATCATCAATAGCATTCATGTTTTCAACAAACACCAGATTAACTTCCAGTTCTAACGCCAAAAGTGGAGCCATCCAGTCAACAATGATTTGGGTTTCCCACTGGGACTGGACTGTTCCGCTTTGGTAAAATTCTTGTTTTTTCTTAATTTGCAGTTCTGCTTATTAAGAACTGCAAATTGTGTTTTTCAATCTGCAGTTGTGTCTAGTGATTTGTTGATGTGGTTTGCACTTCTGGGCAACGATACCTTTTTTCATTTGACTCTGCGCAGATGTGAAGGAACTGGAGAACATCCGGAAAGCTCTGTCCTTCGACCACCGTGGAGAGGAGCACAAAGCACACCCTCTGTCCTCGCCATCGTCGGTAGAGACGATGGAAGAAAGAGGGGCAGGGGGCGTCGATGGAAGTGGGGTAAAGGAAGAGAGAAGCCAGGAGAATGGCGAGGTCAAAGGTCACAGTGCTGCTGAGATAAAAAGGATGAACCTGCATGACTTCCTGTTCATAAAGGTGCTGGGGAAAGGAAGCTTCGGAAAGGTTGGTGGAAAAGATTGGGAAGAGTGGAGAGAGGTTTGGAGCGGGTGTTCCCCTCTTACTGTGAGTGTGGTGTAATCAGGTGATGCTGGCCGAGCTGAAGGGCACCGACGAGGTGTTCGCTGTCAAAGTGCTGAAGAAGGACGTGATCCTGCAGGACGACGACGTGGACTGCACCATGACGGAGAAGAGGATCCTGGCGCTGGCCAGGAAGCACCCGTATCTGACCCAGCTCTTCTTCTGCTTCCAGACTAAAGTAAGGGGTACTCACATGCAGGGACAGTGCCATGCCACTGGAGGGCAATGTCAGACCATGTTAAATCTGGAGATATTTGTGGACAGCTCTCTCAAATAGAAGGAGAAAGTCTGTCAAAGTTTATTTATATATCACAATTACAACAGCCTATGTTGACCAAAGTGCTTCACAGCAAACAACATCACAGGTAGAAAAATGACAAAATATAAATAAAATTAAGTTTAGTAAAAATAATGAGACAAATATATAATTGATATCAAACAATTACATGGATTAACTTACGGAGGAGTTTTTAATAGAAAAATAAAGATAGACAATTAACCATTAATATTAATATATAAAAATAAATTAATCTCTTAGACAGATAAATAATTATCAAAGAAAACGCACTTCTCAGGCCCTCAAGAAAAATATTCAGGGTTTATTTCCATGATGAACCTGCAGCAACTAAGTTGTTGTGAACAGATATGATCTAATCCAATCTTTTTTGGTATTTAAACATCTACTAATAACATTTTTTCTTTTTTTTTTCAACCATTGTGTTGTAAAAGCTAAAATATACAAATCACACAGGTAATGTCAGCTGTGATGTTGCACTTTCCATACTCAGAGTTGTGCTCATAAGTTTACATACTCTGGCAGAGTTTCTGAGTTGTAGGCCATTGAATAGTCATCCAAACCTCTGAAGCCATTTTGTTTGGTGTTTGCTCTATGTATACAGCAGCCAAAGATAACCAGATTAAATACATCCAGCCTATCTATCTCCAGCTAAGAAATAACTAACCCACTTTAATCCAAATATAAATTGCTTGCCTAGAAAGTCTAGTTTGTTTGGGGAGGTGTGACCAAAACGTGAACTTTGGACACCCAAGAACCTCGGTTCAGCTGAGGTGACCTCTACTCGCTTTGAAGTATAGCCGGTTATTTACTGTATCGTTTATCATTTATCACAGTAAGTTTCTTATTATGATATGTATTTTTATTTATTGTTATCATGATAACCAATTAATGTTTAAAACACCCCCAAACTGTCCTTATTGTTGGGATAAATAGTTGATCACTAAATGTGCACTGTGTCAGTGATCATTGCGATTAAACACTTTTTATTCCTAAATAATTTATAAAAACTCAATTTTTACCAGTGGAGCCATTAGCACAGTGACAGAGTCGTTTAAACCTGCCTCTCAGCTTTCGTCATTTCCACTTTCAGACATTTTTCCGTCTATACACGAAATGTCCTAAAACTGACAGACACACAAAGCTGCCCTGGTTCCCATCAGGAAACATGTAGCAGGTTTGTACATTTATGAAAGAGTTTTGCTGTTACTGTACCGTGTTAGTGTTCGTCCTTTCACTGCAACTTGACCCTGACGGTGCAACACCGTTGTTTTTTTTTCCTTTGAGGCCTCAGCAGGTGGTGACCTTTATCATCAGACTTCTACTAGTAAAATAGAACACGCGGTGGAAATGGAAAACACATAAAACAGCTTTTGCTTTTGTTGATGTATTTCCTGAACTCCTGATAAAATGTGAGGCTGGCTTTTCTTAAAGTACTTTTAAGTAGTCAGTCTTCAGAATCTTTTTTAGTACTTCAGTGATATCAGCTCAGTTTTAGTGTTCTTTGTGTTTGGTGCTTCCCTTTGACTTAGAATCTTAGTCGTCATGTTTTTGGTGACAACACAATATTTACTTAACATATTTGTACTGAAGTCCAGCGGACAATAGAAGACGCTAGCAGATATAAATTCACCTTAATTAGAATCTCGACTTGCCTCCTTGTCTGTCACTGGGTCATAGATAGTGGGGATAGTCCGAGTTTAGATGCAATCTCATTGTTAGTCATTTGTAGAATAGCCCCAGCAAGTTTGTGCTGGGGCTATGAACTGAAAACATTGACTAATGGAATGATGATGATGATGTTATTCCTCCATCAACGACTGGCTCCAGAAGTCCTGGGCTTCAATTGTTTTTGTTCTTCATGATCTTTGAGGCTAATTTTAGGTCACTTTTCTCTATATGGAGTCATTTTTAGCAGCAATACACAATAACTTCAGCTTTCATTAATAGTGTGTTTGGAAAATCAGAATTTCAATTCTCAGATTTTTTTTTCTACATGGAGCATAAAACAAAATAAGTTAGCCACAATGCTGGTTTTGGTTTCATTGTGAAGTAAGTTAACCTGAGAGTAGTTTATATTTACTGGAACAAAGCAATGACAGGAAATATTGTGTGACATTAAATAGAGGAGTAAAATACATATTAAAAATACTGAACTAAAGTGTTCCCATAAAAATAGAATAAAATACACATTGCCATGGTCACACACAAAAGAAACCATCAAATGGGTCGCAAGTCAGTAAATAAATAGTTTCAATAATGACACAAACAGCTCTGGGAAAATTAAGAGAACACTTAAAATGATCAGATCTCATATTTTACTCTGAATAGGTACCCTGCCCATACACTTATGTCCATTATGGTGGACATTTTATTGAAGCTTAATTTTTGTTCCTACTTTGAGTTACCCTTTCTAGCCCTACAGTACTCTTTAGAGGACATCCTGGGCTTTCCAGGGATGTGTCATGTGATAGGTTTGCATATCGGGAAGTCCCTTTTTTTTCCTAAATCAAAATGGCTTACCTGCCAGCAACCACATTTTATGGAAAGAGGGTAGACAAGTCAAATATTTAACTTCTTTTGTTATTTTTGTCATGGTAATTATTTATATTCTTGTTGATTAAATACCAATAACAATAATTTTGACCAGTGAAAACAATTTAATAATTTTTGTTTAGAAATAACAGACCTTTTATGAATGTCAATTGTAGTGGACATCAGGACCATTTCAGTATATTTAATGACTTCACATTGTTGTACAAGAAAGAAGTGAAACAGGATTCTACACAAGATAGTAGAGGGAGATTCAGATCTAGAGTTGTCAGATGAAGATGAGTATAAGTACATTTTTGTGCAGACCATTGAATCTGGTCTCTTCATTTTTTCCAGATCTGTATGTTAAGATACATAGTTATTCACTTGTTCATGTTTAAATGTATTACTTATTAAAAGCATATACATTTTTAAGTGACATTTTGTGTTTCAGTGCACCATTAAATAACTCAAACTGTCACTGTGGCGCATTGCTTCACATCTGATTGATAAAGTTTACTGTTAGCATCTACTGACTTTGATTGGTTACAGATAAAAATAAAATTACAATCTACTGCATTAAGTTTAAAGAACAATTTCCATAAAAATGACTCTTTATTCAATGGAATATAAAATAAAAATTTATAAAACAAAACAGAAACGTGTGCTGTATGTCTACAACTAGGACAGAAATAATTAACATTTTCATCAATGAATAAAAATGAGACAAAAATATTGGTGGAGGATAAAATACATTGAAGACAAAATTATTTTTGTGTGGAAAGGTGGGACAAATAAAAAAACTAACCAATAAAAGAGGTGATGCCTTTACAAGCCTGTCAGCCATTTGTGTCTTCAGCAGGGGTGAAAGTAGTTTTAAATTCTTGGGGGTACTATGACAAAAGTGTGTATTTAAATATATACATATATATGTATACACCAGAGCAATAGAGGCTCAGATCTACCACACCAGACAAGACCCAAGGTGTGGGTTGTGCAAGGAGGCCTCTGAGACTTACTTTACTTTACTAGATGCAGATGAAGGCACCGTCCAACATGGAAAAAGAAAAGACAATACAATTTAGATCTTAAATATCTAAATTTAAGATCTAAATTTAGATATTTAAATTTACGGAAACAGAAAGATTTCAAAGAAAAGAAAAGAACAACTAACCTGAATGAGATGCCACTCAAAGTCCATCAGGTTTTTGATGAGGGTGGAAACCTGAACATTGACCGTCACTTTTTCTTTTGAATGGTCTTTCCTGTCTTTTTGGATACCATCTTCCCATGACCGGATTTTGTGTCCCTTTCTGGGTTAATCCCAATGAAGCGACTAAAAAACTAAATCAAAAATGGGAAAATTCCTGAGAATACAAATAGTGTGGCATTCTGAATACAGCTGGTACAATATGTAAATAAAGCTG